AAATCAGATTATTGAATCCCTAAATTCTTCAGTGAGATGGAATTCCAATGGGAAGTTACAGCTTCTTCAGTAACTTCCCATCTTAACACCTACAAAAGAAAGAATAGACAACAGAATATTTGATTATTTTGTCTATTTTTGGCACTAATCGACGTTAAATAAAATGAAGAAGATAAGACATACATCAAGAATATTTTCTTCCTGCAGATCATTCTCGGCACTTTCACTTGGCAATTTTTTGATAACAGTTTTCACATCTGAATGCTAAATCATTCGTCTCTCAAGGTTCATTGGTTAACATAATTAAAGCACTACTGACCTATTAGTAATTATAGCAGCAATAATTTGAGATCTTTATTAAAATCAAGAAATTCAAACCGTTTTTGATTTCACTGGATGAAAGCATACGCGTACCAATAAGGTGATATTTCGGGCACAGCAATAAATCTTTCACAGAAGCTGAATTTTCTGCTTCCACTAATCCGCGCTCCACCCACGCAGCGCATATTTTGTCGGAAAAATTAAAGATTAATGATATTTGAAGATGAAGGAAATGAAATTCAGGCGGACCATTTCGGTACTTTAATATCCCTTTACTTCCATAATCATTTGCATCAAAACATTATTTCTGAGAATTTAAGTTTTGGAAATTCTGGAAATTTTATTTTCTGGATACTGCGATGTGAATATTTGAATGATTATTGAGATATGACACAACCATGGGCCTTTGATGTGGTAGAAAAACTAATACCTGCAATTTCTTTAAAGGAATGTGCTTCAACATCTAACATAATAACTCCTTTACGAAGACAATTCTTGAGTTGTATCAAACCAATGACCGATAGAAGAGTGATGTGTGGTTTGGAAAATCGGGTACCGTCACCTTCAATTGTCTGCTCATACTTGATCCATCTAAAAGTTTGCTAGAATTCCAAGATTCCAGATTTTAAAATCGAGAGACTATTTCCTGAATATAGCACATTTCGAATACAACCATTCTCATCAATTGATGTTGCGATGTAGTTCATGATTAATTCACCATTTTGATGTAAAGTGTGAAGTGATGGCTGACTCTTTTCCATAGAAATCCCCTTAACAGGAGAAGCATGCCTTAGTGAGGTTGCGAGCTATGCTGGCGATGGCATATGTTGTCGGTAAAGTCTGCCATGTCAGATAAGTCTCAACTGAAGGGTCAGAAAAGTATGCCTACGGGCAGGATAGGTTCGTAGTCTCCGGCAAGTATTCTGCGAGAAGACTCTAATCTCAAACCAAGACAGATGAAGCTCACTTAACTCTGCAAGTCCATCTATCTCAGAGATGAATATTCTAGTTAAATCTATGTGGCGAGGACTTCGCTGTTTTATCCAAAGGAGTGAAAGGAGTAGAAAGTTTCGAGTCTGCGAAGGCACAGTTTGTGCCTTCGCAGACTCGAAAGATATGCCCAATTGTAAAGACTTGTGCGACAGGCGAGGAACTAAACGGTGACTGATAAAGTGCATTGGAAGCCTCAAAGTAACCATGCGTGCAGGCGGTTTAGGATATTGGCCGCTCGAGATTGACTCCGGAGATGACGGAGTCAATCTCGATGACAGTCTTACGGCAATATCCTGATTGACCAAGCAGCCTTATGCAAGAAAAGCTTACTCCACGTGGAAAGCGGCCTAGAGAAGAAAAAAAAAACTTATCTCTAGCCACCACCCGGTTGGCTGACCGCGGTCAACGGCATTTTCTGATGCGTTCGAACAACGACAAAAACACAAAGGCATACCCCTGCTTTCAAAAGTGTGTTCAATTTGTTAAGGTGTTTTAGTGAATGTTGGGACATCAGAACCATGCTTAATAATAGACGTCCTGTACGTTCTTTTACTCTAATGCCTACAAACTAACACGACTCAACATCGACATTGTTGCTCTGAGTGAAATTTGAAGTTCATCTTCATCAGGAAGACAACTTCAAAGAACATAGTGCCTGCTATACATTCTATTGATTGGGCAAACCCGAAAATTAGTTTGCAAGAGATGGCTTAATGACTAAAAACTCCACCGCCTTAAACTCAATAATTTGCCTACAGATTAT